TGTGTTGAAACACACTTACATTTACAGCATTTAGCAGATGCTCTTATCCAGAGCAACTTACAAAAAGTGCTTTGCACTTAGCTCTGCAGTTTAGGGGTGTTGAGGATTGCATCTGAAGCCCACTGGCTTAACACACTGGCTCTTAATGAAATTTGCTGTCTCTGGAAACCTAAAGACTTGGTTTCCATGGCAACAGGGCGCAGCAGTGGGAGCAGCTCTTCATCACAGAACTGAGCCAGACAGAATGCTTGTCTCTGCGCAAATATTTTGGGCTGTTTTGTATTGTTCATTTAACAGTACCATTTTCTTGAGGACTGAGACATGGCACCAAATTATTAAGCACTGTTTGAGGTGGATCACTTTTACCTTGGGAGCTTCTGTAATGTAATCTGTTAGACATTTGACTGGCATATTTGTTCAGGATAACGTGTCTGTGTAATTTTGTCTGTGTAATACAAATTACCACCCATAACCCAGTTTGAAGTGCAACAACCTGGATATTCACATTGGTGATATGTGACGTCACAGCCCATAACAGTAATATAATTGAGCACGCCGAGCGTGGCCACAAAAAGGAAACAGTAAGCACTCAAATGTTGTAGCATACAGTTGGCCTGAATTCTGTCGAGTCATACTTCGCTTTAACAATATATACCTTTGTCTTTCAGATGTTGTGGTATATAAATTTTTTTTTGGAGTTGCAGATATGCACTGAATCCAAATCACAAATTCCCCAGGTAAAACCAGTCAAGCTCAAGTAGAGCTTTAGGATCACTCCAGACCTTTCTTTAAGAAGGTGAGACCAAGCACAATGTAACCAAGTAGACTTAACCTGAGCACACTGGGTTGCAGGTGCCTTATAGAGCCACATTCAGAAAGAGAGGGAAAGGAGGTAAAGTAGGAACTAAGTCCTGCAGGACCTGATGACTTCCTGGCAAGCGCAGGATTAGGCTACAGTTCCTGGCACAAGGCCAAGGGTCTCGCATACAGTACAGTGCAGTACAAGGAGAGCGAGAATGTCCTAAGAGACTAATTGAGACTTTAGGTCATCCCAGGATTAGGCTGCTTCAGAAGAACTAGACCAAAGGTCTTGTAGATAGCAGACTTTGCAGGGGGAGAGGACGGAGGGTTGAGGACAGATTATAGCATGGGTTCTAGTGGTCTGTAATCTGAAGGTGGATAAACTGTGGGGAAATTGAGTGAACGCCTTGTCCACAGCATATAATAGGTTCAGGCTCTTTCCAGAAACCAAGGTGACTATTTAAAACTTACATGCTCGATTTGGACTGGACCTGATTCTAAATTCAGTTTTAAATTCCACTTTAGGAAATTTTAACATGCATATTATGTAACCTGTTACTTTGTCAAGTTAGTGCTAAAGTGCATAGCATGTATAGCAGATGAGGAGATGGAGTGTCGATAAATGACATGAAAAGAGTGTAATTTGACTGATAAATACCTACACATTACTGATTCTGATGAAACAGGAAGTGGAAATGTAAGGGTGTGGTTAGACAGGACAAAGTGACGGTGTTAATGATGTGGAAGTGGTATGACCTTGTGTTTGAGCAGACCTAGTGAGGAAGTCAGTAACACTTTTGGCCCAGTTGTCCTTTTCTCAGTTTCTCTGACCCCATGTTCAGTATTACCAAGCAGAAACAACAACACCAGGAAATTTGTCACCTTAAATCTCTTTACACACAAAGTATTTTTAAGCCCATGACTTACATATTTGGGCAGGGTGTTGTTCAGTATTCAAAATAAATGTGCCAAAAGGGTAAAGGTTCTGCAGAGCAATGCCATAGAAGAGTCTTTCAAAGGATGGTTCTTTAAAGCGGTGGTTGGAATGGCTGGAACTAGTGAGGACCAGTTTTAGAAGCATTACTTTAAAGGCCTGTTTTTGTAATTGAGATGTGCGAATGGGAAGAACCTTTAAAGAAGTTTAAAGAATTTCTACGTCATGTAAACATTGTAGGCCAATCAAAGGTTTTTTTAGAAGTGTATGTCCAAGTTGAGAACCATTAGGTACTTTTATGTTTAAGATTGTACTTAAGGACTCTCAGTGGAAATTCTCAGTATAGTGAGGGATGGAAAGACAGATCTGATAGCCCTTCTTAGCTCATCCATTCATCTTAAAACAAGAAGTGGAGGATTACAGTTTTACAGCAGAGGTCACTTGTCTGAGTGGACTTTGAAGCAGCACTGTATTTTACGCTATACAGTTGTAAGCAAAAGTTTTAACACCCCTGGTCAAATTACATGTTTTCTTGGTTTTCTAAGTGGAAATAGACTCATTCATGTTCTACAAGGAGCAAACTTAAATATGACAATTTCTCTGCACATTTTAGTGCACAATGTCTATTTACTTTTTCCCCATATGTCTTAAATTCAACAAATAAACAGTAATTATTCATTAAAATGTGCAGTGGCATGTTCTTTGTAGCAGATGTTTTTTTTTATATTTTCACTTAGAAAACAAACAAAACGTGCAATTTGACCAGGAACGCCCAAACTTGCGTACGACTGCAGCAGGTTGAAGGTTATGTGGCAGGGTAGTGAAGAATTTAACTGTGAAGAAACTAAATCATACAAGAATGACCTGATGTACTGCATACAGTTTGCTTTTATTCTCCAGAGAAAGTGTGTGTTCATGCAACAATTTTGGTAAATAAAACAGACATTGTGGAGTCACTGGTCATTCTGTTACAGACCTGGCAGACTAATATGCTGACATCCTCCTGGTAGTATTTTCTGTCTGTACACTGTCTTTCTTGGAATCACTCTATAAACTCTGTATTGTTGATGGCACATTTGAAGTTAAGAGGAAAGATTAAAAACTCTAAAGCGCAACTCTGTGGCAGGTGTATAGGTCTTAGTTGTATTAATTACTATGGAGTCCATGTCCACAAATGGCTTGCATGTACATTATGTACAGGCACACAACACAGCTCACACCTCACACTCTCTTTCCTGGCATGAAGTAAATTATGAATCATTGAAAGGCCGCGGCTGATGGGGGGGACCATTTGCGGCTCTGTAATGAATCCACTGAAAGTCACTCTTGGCCTACATTCAGCAGAGAACCTGCCAGTCAGAGCTGACAGTCAGAATCACTCTTTACCCATGCAGTTAATAAATGTACATGGATATTGACCATATTCAGACCTTGGACATATGTGTGTTTTGTTACGATGTCTGTTAAACTGCAAGCACCACTTTTAAATCTTATTGACTTAATGTAACCAGACATAACCTACTAAAGTCACGGTTCAGGAAAAGCCAAAGAAGTGGTTTCCTTTGCTGTGATTAATGTAGGAAAGCCCCTGTCCTTTAGTGGCTTTGCTGTTGTCCTATGTCGATATTAGAGTAGTGGCTAATAGTAGTCTGGCTGGGGTCTGGATCAGAAATGCCACTTCAGCACATCCCAGAAGTATTCAGTAGTGCTCCATTAATCCACTGCTCCACAGCCCAATACCCAATTGCATTGTGACCTTAGGCTCCTCCTGAGTGTCCCATCCTGTTGTCAGTGCTTTTCTGTGGAGATTATACAAGCTGTGTGCTCAATTGAACTTGTTTATCAGCAGTGTTTCCTGGATTTTGTCTCTTCACTGGACCTCAACAAAGAAAAATATTAGTTTATGTTCAGTTGTCCACATTAAAAAGACTATATTGATGATTCACTAATTGTTAAATATGCTATGAACATGTTTAATGGCTATTATTGATTAATTTTAACAAACTGTGATTTACTTCTGTTGTAGCTTTCTGAAGCCAATGTGTTCAATCAAAATGAAGCTACCAAATATGTTTGCTTCAAAACTGCAAAGCTTCTGGTAGAGCAATGCTCTTCTTAATATTTAGACTACAAATGCGTGTGCAACATGGTTTAGTGTACCAGGTTTCATTGTGCAGTAGAGTGAATGTCCACCTTGGTTGCCCTCTCTCCTGTTATTTGTGTGGGTAGCTGCTATTTTTCCATGGTATTGGGGGCTTCAGAAAAGTCGATTCTGTTACTGCTGACTCATGTGGATGATTGTTATCACCAAGACATGATGTGGCTTGCGGTCAGTACTAAATACAGGCAAAGGAAAATGAGAAAATACCTCTCTTGGATCACAGAAAGGTGAAACACAGCAATATTCAAATGGTATACAATGATTACCTTTACACCATTGTGCTGGGGTAGTCCTGTGTCTTCAGTTGTTGTGCAAAAAGTGGCCACCTAAATCTTACCAAAGCTTTTCCACATTATTTTGTAATTAAAGGGTGCTGATATTTCCTATAATTTAAAGCTAAAAAATCTTGCTAATGGTGTTACATGCATGAGTTCATGCATCATGCCATAAGTAACAAGCATTTGGTTGAAATTTGAACACTATTATGAAGTAGGAATGACAGAAAGTGTCACTGAAGTGAAGCACCAGCATGTAGTATCCGAAAGTCCTAGAAAGCGTGCACTTATCACGTGTCCACAATGCTTAATAGACTCAGTCGTGTCAGCTAACACGTTTGTTTTCACTGTAGTTACTTGAGTGCGAGTAGCTCCCCCTTGTGGACAATCTTCTTGTGAGTGAGTGAGTGAGTGAGTGAGTGAGTGAGTGAGTGAGTGAGTGAGTGAACATTTTGTAATGTTGGTTGTGCTTTGGTTTCCCATATTTTAGCATGTTTTTTTCTTTTGACTCAGTAATGCTGTTTTTTTTTTCAGTTTTAATGTACTTTGTAAGCATTCCCAATGTTATTTTTAAAAGATCTGAAACCCTGCTGGTGGGTCAGTGTAACCAAGAAGGATGCCTACAGCTTAGTGAAATTAGTGCCAACTGACTTGGTGAAAACCAAAAACAATACCTGACCATGGAAACGGTCAACTAAAAGATACAGATGATCTTGCATACCATCAATACTAAGAATCTATATAAAATTCATATGCCTGGATTAAGCGTGCTGTTATGTTTTTAAGTAACACTTGAGTGATGTTCTTGTCTCTCTCTTATCTGTTTCAGGAAACCTACCAGAAGGAGCCTGCTTCAGCTGTACTGCGCTAAGGCTAGCTGCAAACAGGTAAGCTACAAATGTAGCTGGGACGCTCAATGATAACAGAATCACTTTAAAAAATAGTGACAGCGGACAGATGTTTCAATTTGACTAATATTTCAAACTGAAATTTGATGACTTACCTATTGATTAGAGATGAAACGATATTAAAATTTCATATCACGATTATCATGACCAAAATTATCACGATTATCGGTATTATCGCGATATTGTTCAAATGTTTTGAAAAGTAAAATAAATAAAAAAAATAAATACTGATACACAAACTGAAACTCGTTTCACCAACTTTTATATTAACACAAATAGTATTGGCAGCAATATGCACTTTTTGTTTGCATTAACATTAAAAAATGAGGTCAATACATTTTTAGTATTACTTTTGTATTACTTACAATACTTGTAATACTCTGTAAACAAAAGAATAGCAAATGTATTATTATTACAGTAATTATTATTATTATTATTATTATTATTACTCTTCTTCTTCTTTCTTATTATTATTATTATTATTATAATAATTACAGCTGCAGCATTATTGTGCCGTTGTGGCGCTGAACCCCTAATCAACACAGAGGAACTGCGTGACCGTTCCCGAGTTTGTATGACTGTTAACTCAGAACTCGTTTTGGAGACTCTGCTCCACAGAAATGTGTTAAAAGCTTTAGTTTCGATTCACAGTTGATTCACCGAATGTTTTTCCTTTTTTTTGACGCTAAAAGCTTCATTCTATATGATTAACGAACCATAAGCATTGGTTAAACGACACAAACCGTGACATTTCTCGTATTTCGAAGTCCCCACGGACTTCTACGTTAAAGTTAACCTTACATTCTCTAAAAAGTAGCGGGTGGTGGTCGCGAAATGATTCGTAAAGTTTGCTGTGTTGCCCCCTTTCCCCGCATTTTTATTTCGGCCTGTTCTGCAGGACTTCTTAGAAGGCTGAAATATCTCCAAATCTCCGAGTTTTCACACCGTGGTAATCGACTGCGGTTTTAACGATACTTTAAAGTTCAAACGGTACTACTAACCATCATTAATTTTACCACGGTTTACCGTGAAACCGGTAACCGTTTCATCTCTACTATTGATCTTCGGAAAAACGGGATGTTTAGGCTACGTTAGGCTGAATTTTACTGTATTTTCCAGCCCTCTACAAATAAGCTTTACATTTGTCTGTAATGCTTATTCAAATGAATCTAGTCCCACTTTCTACTTTTTATAAATGTTCATGTTTCGGAAATATGTACATGAAAATATTGGATATTGCCATAGGCCCACGATTCCCATATTCCCTAATACTTAGCCTCTACCAGGACTCTCCTCATTAACCAGAACTGTTTAAATTGGGAGAAACATCTCAGTTAAACAATTTTCCCTTTACCCCTAAATGTGGTCTGTCAGCCAAGACATGTTTGGTGTCTGCAGTTTACTTCTTTAGTTCTGTACTGGAGCTACAAGGCTAATGTAGCTAACAAGTAATACAAACTACATGTGTACATCTTTACATAGTTGTCCCAAATGTTGTGTAGTTAAGTAATCTCAAATAATCTTTCCTATGTGGTTTCTGACAGTATTACATTCTGTTATTTCGAATAGCTAACTAAAGTACAGACACAATTCAGGCTTCGAGGTGGCTGTTACTACGGGTTTTAGCTATGCATACTTTTGCCCAATTTTATCAATAATATGACAGCATATCAGATATAACTTATGCTGCGATTAATATTAGTTAGAAAAAAAAAGTTTGCGTAAAGATTTTGGATTTAAAGTTCCTCATCAAAAGATGCCACAGTTTGAGTATTTGAAAGAAGAGAAATAAGTGCTGATGTCTGTTTGTCTCTCTTCAGCCCTGATGTTCTCAGAGCCAGTTCAGCAACTCAGACGTTTCCTCTCAGGAAGCTGCTGTATCCTGACCATGCATCTGTCCGTCACCGCTCCCCAGCTACTTCATCTCGTCTTTACTGTGCCATCCTGACACCTGACTCCAGCCTGCCAGGCCACGCTCATTCCACCTCTCATTCTACCATATCCCAGCTGTGCACCACGCCGGTACGGTGGGTGCACACCACAGGCTGTCTCCACGATGACTCAAAGGTGGAGCGCTCGTTGCGATCACTGAAAGACCGGAATAAAAAGCTGGAGGAGGGGGGACCCATTTACAGCCCAACGGTGGATGCAGAGCCTGTGCGCAGAACACTACGGCAGCGTGTGGTTGATGAAATCAAGCACTACTACCACGGCTTCCGGCTGCTGTGGATAGACACTACCATCGCAGGACGCATGCTGTGGAGAGTGCTGAATGGACACGCACTGTCACGCCGAGAAAGAAGACAGGTATACACACACATGCAGCACTGCCCATGTTCTGGGATAACAATTGTGTCCATAAGTGCGTAAAAGTGTAGTATCTTCTAGCTAAAACTTGGCATCCTGTTTCTGCCTTGTCACTGTCACGTGTATTTAACTCCATGTAATGTAATTAAGTCCTGTAGAGCAGATGGATGCCAAAGACTATTTGGGGTAACCAGGATAGGACTGGTGTAATGGTTTAATCCAAACCCTGTAAATCCTGACTGGATCGCATCTCCTGATTAATGACTTAAATTGGCGTCATGCAGAGTCTCTCTATAATGGTCATTTAGATGGTACTTGAGGCGTGCTGTCCTGGAGAGAGGCGATTTGATAGACTCACTGTAGGCCTAAGCTCAGGAGACTGACAGAGTCATCAGGCACCTCTAACAGACAGGAATGGTCTATGACTTCTTTGAGTTAAAGTCAGCATGAAGGGCATTGTTCAAGTCAAGGTTGGGTTTAAATATATATAGATCCATGTGTGGTTCAGTGCAGAAGCTTCCTCTCAATCTTTCCTCTTGCCCTCTCTCTTCTTATCGTACCTCCATAGCACTTTTCTCCTTTTATCTCCCAGTCTTTCTTAGTCTCTTACTTTTCATGGCTAATGATTGAACAGTCAGCAGAGAAGCTCTATGGTGACAGACTGTACTGAGCTGAAGCATATGTGTCTGCTGGCCAGTAGCCCAGTGTCTATTGTGGTAATGTGATATTCCTCTGAGAGCTGCAGGGCTTCTAACAGAGGTAAAAGAGAGGTTAAGGCCAGACTTAAACAGAAACTAGCATGCAGGTAATTAGACCTAAGTGATTTACACTTTATCTTTCATTTTTCCTAAAAAATTAGCATGTAGAGACCATGTACCAAATATTCCCTCACCACTTCTCTAGGTTGTATATAGTTGGAATTATCTGGACCTCCACAAGGATGCTTTCTGAAATGTAACCTGAGTCTTATTTAGCCAACAACACACAGCGAAATAAGTATAATAAGTAGCATTTTACGTTGAAACAGTGGTTTAAACAGTCTGGGTTCACAGAGTTTCTTTCTCAGTGTAATGCTAGATTATTAACATAGCACTAATGTCTGACTGTCTCAGTCTCTCCGACAGGCACATGACTCACTGTGTGTGGTGTTACATTCCAGTCAGATCTCCACTCAGTTCATATTTAAATATACATGCAGCCCCGCCTGTTTTTACTGATTGGAAAATGAAGCATGGTCAGATTTGGATGCACACCAGTGATTAGTTGCTAAATAGTTTGTGTCTATGGTCGCTCCAAAGTTGTTCATGGTGTCCTTTCAGCAACATGGCCCTGTTGTATACACCTTCGATTAAAGTCCTCATCATTGGCAGCCAGATAAACTACTCTCTGTTCTCAGTGGCCATGGTTATCTGATTAGAAATTGCCCTGACTCAGCAACTTTGTGCAATATCATGCATCTGTGTGTGTGTGTGTGTGTGTGTGTGTGTGTGTGTCTATATATATCTGTCCAAAGATAGACCTTTCCAAAATAGTAACTTTACAGGAGAGGGCAAAAATGTTCTTTACTTTCAATGTAAGTTAATAGAAAGAGATGTTATTCTAAGCAATTTTGGAGCATTTCTGTTGGTCCAATCAATATGAAATTTTTACACAGTATAAAGGATGGCTGCCGAGCTTAAATGATGCAGAAAAGTAAAAATCGTGAAAAATGGAGATATATATATATCTGTGTGTGTGTGTGTGTGTGTGTGTGTGTGTGTGTGTGTGTGTGTGTAACATTACAGTTAGCCTAGAAAAGACTTCCTCCTGGCACACATCCCATGGACATCAAATTTGTGCAGATGCATGTACTTTCACGTCAGCAGCAGCAAGACCTACCTGCAGATCCTGTTGTAAACTTTGTGGTTCTTAGAGACTTGTTATATCTTCTAGAACCCATTCCCAGACTCCTAGGCATCTACAACCTTTTTTTCTGAAGGTCTAAGAGAGCAGAGAGCTCTTGTGATCTAGGCATGATGATACCACACACTCCAAAAGCAAAGAGCAAACCAGCCCAAATATCTGAGGTTTAAATAAGACCAGTTCCTTCAAGATATTCAACAGTGTTCTAGTCATTATCACCTGATTTCAATTTGACACGTTTAAGGTAGTGAGAAATGTAACAATAAAGGACAAAAATGTTTTTTAATTTAATATATAATGTATACGATCAATGCACTGAATGCGTACATACAGGGCTTTTCTTTATCTGTGCTGGAATGTGTATCTTGCTTTAAATTAAAAATGTTGATCTATTATCTATTTCGTTTAACAGGTTAGTTCATAGGCGTATGAACTGTACCACCAGAGTTGGACTGTTGTTGCTGTATAATGAGTCACTGAAGTTAGTTTGTAGTGGATTTGAGGCAATTTACATTAGAGTTGCTGTAGTGCAGTATGTGAATAGCTGTGATAACAGCCTCGTACAGTTAGTACGAGTAGTTAGTACCTTTACTGTTAATGGGGACTTCCCTCATTTAAAACAGGTTAAATGTCCTCACACAAATAGCCTTAGCCTCAGTTAGCATCAACTCCCTACTGCTGGTCTTCCCTCCTGCCTTCTTAATGCTCATTCACATTCAGGCTTGAGGCTTTTGATGTCACTTCTTATCAATCCCCCTATTCCTCCCTCTCCCTCTCTTTCTCTGTCTCTCTCTCTGTCTCTCTCTCTTTCCTTCTCTCTCTCTAAAGCCGTCAGACCCCATGCCTGTTTTCTCCCTCTTTCCTTTTTTCCCCCTTTCACCCCTCTCTGACAGAGGCGATATACATGTCAATGGAGAAAGCACAAAGCTTCTTTTCAGCCTGACTGGCTTTGTTCCTATAGGACCCCTGACATGCAGGTGGAGAGACGGGAGAGGAACCTTCTGTTAAGGCTAAACTTCCATTACGTGTTTAAAGCATTCAAGTCTGTGTCTGGAGTACAAATGTTTCATAAAAGAAATTATGCTCCCCTCAGTTTCATTATTACTGTAGGTGGTGAGTACAGATGTACTGGTGTTATGATTGTCATATAGGTCATGCCAGAGATGAGTGTAGACAACATCTAAAGAAGGTTAGCAACAGGAATGATAGAGGACGGGGGGATGGGACCTGTGAAGAGACACAGGCACACTATCTTGTAAAGTTTTTTTTCCTCCTACTGGATACAGTATATGCTTTTATTGTGTATACAGAAGTTGCACAACTTATTGGACTTACTGTGGCCCAAACAACAGTCACGATTCTTTTACACTGGGCAGCAAAATGTTAAAAATCAAAAATGATTTGGTCTAGAAGTTGACATTCAGTAGTCATTTTGTTTTTGTGGTTGTGAAGGACATTCACTTGTTGGCGTCCGTTCAGATGTTTCTGTAAATGATGTTATTTTGTGCAGTATCAATGTGAAGCAGTGCAAGCCAAGGGCTTCTTTTAGGCTTTTCTCTATTCTGGTATATATACCTGCAAAATTGAAGTATTTATTGAACATCATGCTGGTTATTGTTAATCTATAAATAATTTGACCATTTATTGTAAACGGTATCTCACATTTTGATATGATTAGCCGGTTGCCGCTTTTATTTGTTTTTTACGATTAGTTAAAGTTTTTTTTAAAAAAACACAAACCATAAAAATGGACTCACATTCATATGCATCCCCTAGTTAAATTAGGTTTTTAAATTTTGGAGGTGAACATAGGAGACATCCTCCACAGAGGACAGACTTCTGCACATTGTAATGCACAATTACTGTGTATTTGCTACATTGAACATATGACACATTCTATATTTTATGTGTGCAATAAAATTAGCATAGAAATTAGCACACTATTAAAGTTTGGTCTCTGCAGAGGATGTGTTGATTTTTTTCACTTAGAAAATCAACAACACATAATCTGAGGCTGCCCAAAAGCTGTTGCACACAACTGTACCTCAACAATAATAACACATAGTCTTTCAAAGGTACTAAATTATTGGGAAAAAGATAAACTGGGATTAGTGGAAAAAGATAAACTTTCAGAAGCCTTCATAAAAATGTATATAAAAGCATTTTGTGGCAAAAGAAAAGATGCACATAAATGGATTTGTCTTATCAGGCTCTTTTATCTCACTGCAAGAGAATTTAAAATATGCCTTGTCATCTCACAAATGGCCAGATTGTGCGAAAAGGTACATTTTAACATGTTTTACGCAGGTTTATTCAAAATAACATGACAGACCTCATTTAAACTTTAGTAGGAAGTCATAAAGGGTCTCTGTGATGAAATCTCAGATGTGTATATGTATAATTTTTTTTTTTTAATATTCAGTTTCTGAGGACATGTGCAGATGTATTTCGGCTCCTGCCCTTTTTGGTCTTCATCATTGTTCCCTTTATGGAGTTCTTGCTGCCTGTCGCTCTGAAGCTTTTCCCCAACATGCTGCCATCCACCTTTGAGACTCAGTCCAAGAAGGTACAGTGAACCTCCAGCTTCCTGTGTGAGCAAAGTATGGATATGTATGTGTTTGCAAGACTGTTTGGCCTTGATTTTACATTTCTTTATTACAACTGTATGTTACTCCGTTCTCATCAGTGTTTGGTAAGCGTTAGACATGCCTTTAATAAAGCTGCAATGAAGGCAACAAACAGTTCTTTGTGAATTATTGTGGTATAAAATTGGAGGGCATGTCTTTTCGTGTAGATAATTTGGGCTTCAGAAGTTTACTAGTATAATTTTATCATTTGTAGGAAGAAAGGTTGAAGAAGGAGCTGAGAGTGAAGCTGGAGATGGCCAAGTTCTTGCAAGACACTGTCGAAGAGATTGCACTGAGGAACAAAGCGGATAAAGGCAACGTCACTGAGGAGTTTTCTACCTTCTTCCAGAAGGTAACATACCAACACTTGCATTCAGTCGCACTTGAACATCAGTACATTTGACCGTTGCTTACTCAGTGTGGAAGAATGCAATACAAAGATAATCCAGGACAGAAAATTTGCCAAAGAATTTGATGAACTCAAAATGTCTGGGTCATCAAAGCTCAGATTTCCCCACCCATATTCATCTCAAAAAGCTCTACATCGCCCCTGTGTGGTCATACTTACATAGTACATCATGAACCACCTCTCAAAAAATTCCTTCTATCATTCTGCTGCTCTGCTCACTCTTTCGTCGTTTGTTTTTTATTTCCCTCAGATCCGTGACTCAGGCGAAAGACCTAGTAATGAGCAGATCATCCGCTTCTCTAAGCTGTTTGAAGATGAGCTGACCCTGGACAACCTGACGCGCCCACAGCTGGTGGCTCTCTGCAGGCTGTTGGAGCTGCAGTCCATCGGCACCAACAACTTCCTGCGCTTCCAGCTTATCATGAAGCTCCGAGCCATCCGTGCAGACGACAAGGTGCCTCGGCCAGCATGTCGCTTTCCTTTCATTTAGAATTAAGTCCAGGCCCAGTGGCAGGATTAATTAGGGTAGGGGCAAAATAAATAATAATTTATTTATTTATGGGCATTTAAAAAGCAGAAATCACTGATAAAATCTGACAGAAATCTAGTTTGTACATCTCCACAACTGAGCCCAAGTAAAGGGGGCTTTTCCCACTAGCGGTGAACCAGCAAGCTGTTTGGCTTTTTTTATTGGAGGGTGGTACTTTCTCCACAAACAGACGCCATGTTGAGCATATTTCAACCAGTGACCAGCTTTATAACATCTCTGACCGTGCCATCAGAGGGTCTTTGGCCCTGAGTAGCAGACAGTACAAAGTGCAGCCATAGCACAAAGTATGTATACCAGAAAAATGTCAAGCTCAAATTAATTTTACACTCTATTCATGTAGATGTAATAGAAAAACTGGCATCACTATCTCTGGTCACGGTCTTCTGCTGTGTCCAATGCGGTAGCCTGTAGCCAAGATTCCTATACTTTATAGCCCCTTTGGGAGTCGGGTCGGGGGTGTATTAATCATGAATATCGAATTTGACTGAAATACCCATCCCTAGTGTCCATAACTAAACCTAATGCATAACTACAGTGAAGTCCAGTGAAAGGTTCGGCAATTAGGAAGTGCAGGTGATTCTTGTAAATGCTGGTCAAAGAGGCTAACTTGCTCACTGTAGTGCTGAGTCTGAATCACAGTCTAAAGTAAATATTAGCCTTGCATGTTGTCTGAATTGTGATTTTGTGTCCACAGCTGATAGCAGAAGAGGGAGTGGACAGCCTGAATGTGAATGAGCTACAGGCTGCGTGCAGGGTGCGAGGGATGAGAGCTCTGGGTGTAACAGAGGAGAGGCTTAGAGAACAGCTTAAACAGGTAAACACGCACCACAATATGGGGGTGAGAGTGAGAGTGAGAGTTGGCCAGTAGTGTCTTTCTTCTTATATTAGGCGTTGCTACTAAGCTATTTGGCTGACAAATCCTGCAGTACTCCCCGCATCATACCCCTTGAAATCTACCATCAGAAAATGCTGGATCGGATATCGTAGAAATAAGGAATGAATCTGATACAATCCTTTAACAAACCTATCCTGAAATACCACACATTCAGATTGTTTGATATCATATTGTTAGCTGTGTATTTTCTGTCTCAGGGGTAGTAGAGATTTTAAATAAGTTGAGCATGATAGGCCTCTTTTACATGCTCATCTTAGATGATGTGCTTCAGTTCAAAAACAGATGATTTTAAAGCTTAGTAGTATTTTAAAAAAGAATATTAGATTGGTTTCAGCTGATAAGCTAGATTTCAATACTGATATCAGAAAACAAAAAGTCTCTAGTCAAAATATTTGTGTTTAGAACTGCTAAAGGCTGGCATTCTGATCACATGATGAGATATCTGAAGATTCATGTGCCAAAAAAGTAAGTATAGCTGTAGTCAGAGGTGTAAAATTCAGGTCCAGAAAGTAAAAATCCTTTCCAGGATTTTGTTCCAACAGCCTGGCTTCTCTAGTTAGATCAAACCACCAGCAGAACTATCCAGGCAGTTGGAACAAAATCCTGGGAAGGATTTTTACTTTCTGGACCTGAATTTTACACCTCTGACTACAGTTTATAACCACCCCCCGCCACTACCCCCCTTCATTTTTTTTATAGTTCAACCACGGCCCCATGTTCCCTTGTGCTTCACTGTGATGATTGTGCTTATTTAGCTGGTAGCTGTGCTTTGTAAAGTGTAGTTGAGAGTGGTTGTAATTATGTGTGTGTTTGACAGTGGCTGGAGCTGCATCTGAACCAGCACATCCCCACCTCTCTGCTGCTGCTGTCCAGGGCGATGTTCCTCCCTGACACTCTGTCTCCTGCAGATCAGCTTAAAACCACACTGCAGACCCTGCCTGAGATTGTGGTACGTACACCTGCCTGACTGGTGCAGTCATGAGAAGGAAACTTTTAAAGCAATGTAGCATAAAACAGAGACCAGGATTCATGCAGTGCTGATTCACTTTGATGTGTAACTTTCTCTTTTCTCATCAGTAATGTCCTCACACCACTGTATGGAAGTTTTTTATTTAAAATTTGTTTTTTACAATTAAGTTCATATTAACAGTCTATACATCATGTATATTGACATCTACATTAATGAAATAACTTTTGCCAAAGTGCTCCATTAATTTGCAGTAATGTTATCCTACTCTAGCATATTAGAAGGGAAAAGGCTTCATGCTCTCTTTTGATAATAGTTTCTTACAATGAGCAGTTTTAAATTATTTACAAACTTCTAATTTAGCAAGCAAGCGAAGTTTATTTATATAGCGCTTTTTACAACAGGTGTTGTCACAAAGCAACTTTACAGAAAAAAAAAAAAATCAGCATTACAGAAAGAAAATCTGAGTCTGAGCCCCCATGAGCAAGCCAGTGGCAACAGTGGCAAGGAAAAACTCCCAAGAGAAGGAGGAAGAAACCTTGAGAGGAACCAAGACTCAGAAGGGGAACTCATCCTCCTCTGTTCGACACCAGATAGCAAACATTTTTAGTAGAGGTATTATAGTACAAAGCAGGAAAAACAGGTGGGGCAATGGGTAATTTGATTAGTTTATGATTATGCAGCGGCGGCAGCAGCATCTGAGGGTGAGGATTGCACAGCGTTGTACAGCATGAAGCTCAATGGTGGTCAAACAGGTCCAGAGGGCTGGCGAGCAGTGGCACCCAATCAAAGCAGAAGAGGCAACAGCATCAGACGCACAGGATGGGCAGCTGTTCAACTCGGCAAAGAAAGGAAACAGACAGAGAGTCAGTTCTGTAATGAGTGTGACTGATCACAGATTACAGTATTAATGGAGAAGTAGAGACTCCGGCAGGTCTAGATCTGACAGGGAAAACTAATTGCCACAGGCTTGACTATACAAGCAGGTTTTTAGCCTAGACGTAAAGACTGAGGCTGTGTCTGAGTCCCGAACATTACCAGGAAGATTTCATTCAGTTAATCAAGCCTTTACTGAGATCTTCAGGCCTTCTGAATAGGGGAATTAGGTGGTTCTAATTAGAGCTGCAATAAAACACTGCAGGAGAATCACCAGGAGCAAAACAAATTAAGATTCGGTTGTGCACGATTGCAACAGACATTTAGACTGTTAATAAGCACAGTAATGTCTGTTAACTCTTGAAATAGAAATCATTTATTTTCAAAAATGTATGTTGCTTCTAAACTTTTGGCCTGTAATGTATACTTATTTGGAGCAGAGTAGACATACAGTACTGTGCAAAAGTCAGAGACCACCCTTTCAGTTATTTAATTACCTGCCAAGAAAAGCAATTAATTATTAATTTTTTAACGTCAGTAAAAGGCAGGAAACATGTTTTTAACAGAAAATTACAACCGAGGCCTCAACAACTAAATATAATATAAAGTTTTTCAGTATGTAGTGTGTCCACGTTATGTTTTATTACACTTTCCATTCTTTTTGGAGACATCTTACAATTTAAGTAACCCCACTTACAAATTTAGACTCATCAGTTCATAAAACCATAGATGTCCAGTCTTAGTCCATAGAGTTGTCTTCCTTCAGTGGAAGGATGGACAGAAGTATCTGGATTTGTTCTGAAGATCTGAAGCAAGAGTGGAGCTTGATTTTCTCCTCTCTCTCAAAGATGAAGGTTTAAGTTCTCTAATGGCGGTCTACCAGGTCTTGCATGGTTGTTTACTGTGTGGGTTGTAAGAAGAAATTTTTTCTTAAGAACGGCTGGTGAGTGAGGCCCAGTGTTAGTGTCTCTTTGAAGTGGAACAAAGTGTTATTGACATTTTGGGGGCACAGCTGTGCATAGCAGTGCAGCGGTGCACGAAAGTAAAGAGTGGACAATTAAATACCGATAGATTTAATATACTTAGTATTGTAGGTTTTTGTGTGATCTTCTGTAAAATAAGTTCATGTTTCCTGCTTTTTGTCTGACAGGAAAAAAACAAATATCTTAGTGGTCATTTTAACTGGAAAACCAAGGAGCTTAGAGAGCTACAGGGTCCTAATTTGTAATTCGTAATTTGCGAATAGGAAGGATTGATTTTGGCCATGATTTGTACTGCAGTTTGTCACAACTGTATAAATGTTGCTAATATATATGACACAACATATTGGGGTGTGTGTGTGTTTGTGTGTGTATTCCTAGGCTAAAGAGGCTCAAGTGAAGGTGGCAGAGCTGGATTTCTCTAAGGTGGATAATAAGACTAAGCTAGAGACCACGCTTCAGGAGGAGGCTGCTATTCTCCAGGAGAACAGAGAGAAGGAGATGGAGAGGCTGGCCGATGCTGCAGAGAAAGCCAAAGAACAACAGGTCTAAGCATCTGTCAAACACTCATTTAACTAGTACTAACCATCACAAACTTTACTTCATGATGTTTGATGCTTCTTGCAGACTGGATATGTATACTGATCTGTAATTTGGCAGCACTGTTGGTCACATGTCAAACATTTTTGTTTGCTTGCTTCATTAATTATCAGATTCAGAGTGGTAGGGAGTCTCTGTGATTTGACAAGAATGATAAATCCAGATTATCATTTTATTTCTTGTAGTGCTGTTTGGAACTAGAAATGCTTGGTTAGAACTACAATTTACATTAAATGACATATAAAATTAGTGTGTTATGTAATGACCAGGTTTCCCAGACATTGATTAGGCCGAGCCTTGGACTAAATTGAAATGTCAGTCGTGATTCACTTGTCTTAATATAGATTTAGGTCTGGGAAACTGGCTTAAAATTGTACTTTGTATTAACACATGATTATAAGATAGCACATGTTGCCTAGTAGAGCCAAATGGAGCTTATTCACAGCTGCCTGTGTTTGCAGAAGGCTGAAGTGGAGGCAGATGTTGCTCTTTCCAACGTAGATGCGGCTGTTCACCCTGAAACACTACGAGACGCAGCACCAGTGCTGGAAGGCATTAAGGTAACAGTGACACCGCACAGAACACACACACACACACACACACACACACTAAAACTCTTTTGCACTATTTAACCTTTTGTTCTTAATGACTTAAAACAGCATGAGGGCTGTGCTTTTCACAAAAAACACGTTTCCTGCAAGCTTTCTTTTTCCTGGCATGTTAAATTTTTAAGGCTGTCCGTATGCTGAGAAGGTTAACTAATTATTTTTTATTTTATCTAACTTCATCAAAGGGTATCCATAAATCTGTGGCAAAGACATCACTTACCAATACAACTAATAGCCTGGCGCATGGCAAATTAATAAAATTTTTTTGATTGTAATCCTTTTGAGTGTGCTGACCAGGTGTCTAAACCAGCATAAATCTATATTGGAAAAATTTTACTTGGAAAATCCATTTAGTGTACCTTTTAAAATAGGCCTTTGCCAGCCACAGAACACTCGTATTTGGATAACCATGTGGAACATAACTGCATTAAACAGTTAAACTGAGTTTAGAGTTGGTGTCATTTATCTATGACAAAATCTTTAGTTCACCTCCTGTCACATTCTATGCACACACATCCTCTTTAGAGTTAGGGTCAGTCTCAAAATCACCGGAAAAAAAGTGTTTTTATTGTCATCTTTAATTTGGCTATGAATTTGTATTTAATCTAGTAAGAAAGAACAGAATTGTGAATGTCACAAAAACTTTACCATTCAATTCCTGTAGTGTCTGTAGCCACTTAGCTTAGCCTGAGACATGACAATGTTTTTCAACCAGTGCAGCTCAACAGCCAGTTGTGTTATGCACAATAAAGTGTTAGTGTAGGAAATTACATCTCCTAATATGTTTATCAGTTCAGTTATGTTCACATGTGGGAATACTAGTGTTTTTCTATGTTTCCATAAAATGAATCAATAAATGAACAACATTTTTTTTTAACTGGCAGTAAATGAGTTTTTACCTTTACAGGGGGCTGTTACCGTGTTTACTTGGTTAACCGCCGCTGTGCACAGGCCTTCTTTAAAGTTATTTAAATCAGGAATTGTTACCAAGAGCAAGCTGGGTTTTGAACAACTATAAAACTCTTAATAAATACGTTTACCATACTGTCTGTTAGTAAATCTTTTTATGGTCAGCTTTGTCGTCGGTACAATTCCTGATTGGGCTTCAGTTAAAGTGGAATTCCAGCACTTTTTCAAATTTTGTGCATAATTAAATTGTTGAGACATACACAAAAAGACAGAGTGATTTGCTGTTAAATGGTTTATTACCGAGAAACTTACTGACTTTTACTGATTTCTTTACAGTGGTGGTAATAAGAAGCAGGGATTGTGACATCTACAACACAAATTATAGCCATGTTATGTACTATCCAAAGCCTATGTGTCTGCTGAGTTTTGATACGTAATGCTGATGATAGTAAAATAGTAGTAATTATGAAAAATAAGTTTTCATTGGTTTACTCTTTTGCATTATAACACCCTGCATGTACCTCTTCACGGTGATGGTTACTAAAAAAAAAAGATCAGGCCAAAACCCTCTGAAACCGTGGTAAACAGTGTTTCAGACATCAGGCCATTTCATAACCATTTCATTTTATAACGTTCTCTAAGGGAGCTTTCATAGGCATTAAACTCTTCAGACACCTGGTTCCTGTCACCACCACCGTGAACTGTTCTGAGTCAGTAGGTTTCTCTAGAATGGAGCATTTCACATCAAACCACTTTAAATGACTGTGTTCACATCTTCACCATTTAATTATGAAGAAATTTTGAAAATCTTCTTCAGCTTGTGTGCTTTGTGTAACGTGTCCGTCTGTGTGTTAACTCATTTTCTTCATGCTGCGGTCAGTTTGAGCAGTGGCAGAAGTACCTGCGCATTCAGGTTATATATTGATCTGCTTTCATTCAGGCGAGCAGCACACTGGCTGTTCTGCTCTTCATGACTGGAGATCTTGTTAGATTAGAATTGTTCCTTATGGGCTGACGAAATCCATAAGGAAATAGTTTCTGACGTGATTAATGTTCTCAAAAAAAAAATTCTCTTCTAATTAAAATTTCTAGTTACTAGAGCTGTCATGAAGGGTGGAAGTATGTAATGTAGCCTTCCTCACTCCTCTCCCCATTGTGTAAGTGAGGGTGTGGGTGTGTATGTGGTTGGTGATTCAGGCTGTGGGATGACACACCTCTTAACAGTCACAGAGCACACACCGCACTGTCTGAGACACTTGCTGTTACCCCCTTCCTTCCTGTAACCCTTTGACAACCCCCTATTAGTAAATTGTAGTGTTGCTGTCTTGTATGTATTTATGTACTTATAATCAAAGCCCTTAAATTCTGACTGTTGAAAATTGATTGTCCTCCACTATAGGATGTTTGTGCCTTTGCCTTCTTATTCAGGCGCTTGGTGTCTCTGCATGTGCATCGATAGTGGTGTGAGCTGGATGGGTGTGGTGATATAGATTATGTGATGAACTATCAGTCATGTTTAAACCCACCAGGGTGAGGAAATCACTAAGGAGGAGATTGATTTGCTGAGTGACGCCTGCACCAAACTGAAGGAGCAGAAGAAACTCCTCACCAAAGAAAAGGAGGAGCTGGAGGAGTTAAAGGATGATGTACAGGAGTACAATGAGGTGAGTGAGGAAGTGACAATACACTGGGAAGTAAATAAAATCACTGGAGGTCACTTTGTGCCTTATAGAGTTTGTCTGTATGATTGTATATCAGACTTAGCTTAAGTCCTGCTACTAACGAGTGTTGATTCTTATCTAGGGAAAAAGCACTGGCCCCAGCCTCAGGGCATGCAATAACTCATTATAGTAGTTCGGACTGCACACCAGAGGTCACTCTCTCTTTTGCAGTACTGTTCAAGCTGTACCTTAGCCCTCTGAAGTCAACCATGTCACTGGCACCATGAACTACCTCCTAGATATTGTTTATTTGCCGTAGAAACTCAAACTGGGGGCTCCAAATTCACTCATATCTTTCACAGTTTAGCTTTATGGATGTTGTTTATTCACCATTCAACTTTGAAGATAGCACCAACTGAGAACAGCAGCTAGAACATAAAATCCCTAGACCAGGGGCTCCCAACCTTTTGCTACTCACAGCCCCTAAGACCCACCACAATAGCCTTTGCACCCAGCAAGAAGATTTAACCAGCCCGGTCGTTTCAAATGTAAGCAAATGTAACAAAATAATCAAGCCTATCAAATTTCACTTGTCTGTATAATCACACATCATAAGCACTGAAAACTTCTACAATTTTCAGTTTGTTGCCTTTTGTCCATAATGCATGAATTGCACAATCCAGAAAAAGAAATGTTTTACATTGACTTGCACCGAAAATATAACTTAACTAACTGCATTTTGCCCAACCAGTAACTGAGCCACCAGCCTTTTAAATATTTTTTATTTTTTATTTTTGCAAATAGTTAGCACAACAATAATATTTACTTGTCACATTTAAAAGTAGTGGTTTAATTAAGTGTTGGTGTATTGTGATGATTAAAAACCAAAAAAAATGTTGATATAAAAAAAATTTAAACATGACCATGAACGACCCCCTCATGCAGTACCACCATGGCCCACAGGAGGGCTGCAACCTACAGATTAAAAAAGCACTGCTCTACAACTCAGACAACTCAGAAGTGCTGTTTTTGTCTCTACACCAAGTCTAGTCATTCAGCAAAGCTGTTGTGTGCTTGCCCAGTGATTGAAAAATCTGTTGATGCATCTAATATCCATCTCAGCAACTGGACCATCCAGATTGTTTGCAGATCGTCATAGTAGTCACTACTATGCTAGAATTTAGCATATCTGTGTATATAGCTTATTCTTTAAATAATGCCATACATGCATGCAACATATTCTGAGGAGCCTTTTCTTTTCTATGTGGTGTGGTGTGTTTGCTTTGAAATAGACCTTGAAATAGACCAGTCGTCAGTCATACAAAATGAAGAAAAAATGTGAAGACTTTTTCTCCCCTCCCCCAGCATTTTCAGTACTTTTAAATACAGTCACCTTAGACACTAGAATATTAATAGCCCTGTGTGTGCGTGAACATACCTTGTATTGTTACTTAAAATGGGGGTATCTGTATTTACTGTTAAATCTTAATCTCAAAGCATAAGGCAAATAATATTTTGGAAAAAAGTATCTTTATTAGGGGTGTAAATATCTGGACTTTATTTAAGTTTGATTTGATCTGATTATTTTGGAATGATTCAGAATTTTGTTCGAAATACATTGAATGCAGAAACGTTACTGGAGGAATTCATTACGCAGGCAAATATAAACGGTAAAATAATACTTTTTTTGAGATTTTTACTTTTGAAAATGGCCCAAGAATTGTTTTGCCTATATTTTATTGAATATTATTAAAATAATTCTAACAAAATCCACCACTTTTAAATGTTCAGCAGAATATAACACATACAACAGACTATAATTCTTCCCTTGCCCGAATGAAAAGGCTGTCTGTGAGAGAATGTTCTCTCCTTACTCATGCCCTGTTTATGTCCTGCTCTGCTTCAGGATCTGGAGGAGATAAAGAAGGAGCTGTCCAAGACCGGGCAGGAGAAAGAGGTGGAGGAGTCTAAAGCCAGTAAGCATCTGTCTCGCCGGCTCAACCGCATGATCAGCCGCATGGATAAGATCATAAATGAGCTGGAGAAAGATAAACTGGTGCTGGATGGACAGATGGACAGTGGAACTACGCCACCTGTTGGGTAAGAAGGACTGACTGTTGTTTGAACGGTCATGTTGTGTATTTGTATGTCAGTCTGCGTGTGATGGAGGTGGATATAATTTTTATTTTTCAGTGTAATGGTGGTGGGAGGGTGACACTGACGTTAGGTGTTCTTAACCATAAAAAGGGTTCCCAGTTAAATTAATAGTTTCTTTTTGTTGTTTTTTGTAGATTGTTCTTTGAGAAACGTAGTGACTTACAAAGGTAAGAAAAGGAGGTGCTTTGGGGTCTGTGGGGTCTCTTGCCTGCCAACTGTACCACTAACACAGACTTCATAGTTTTCTTTCCATGTTTCAGTGTGGTCGGTTCATCTTGATTTCCTTCTGATCAGTCATCAGTAAATGTGCTTGTCATTTGCTAACTGGGTGCTATGTCGTTAATTCTGTTCGTCGTGTGGATTTAATTGATCTTTTGATTAAAATCACCCATCTGTTTCTCAATATCTATGAAAGGGGGACCAGTGCAGTGTAGAGTTTAGGTTTTTTGTTGTTCCAGGCTCGTCGACTAACATAACAGACCAGTGTTCTTAGTGCTGGTGATAAAATCGTAGCGCAATAAACTAAATACAGCTTTACCTGCTCCTCTTTTTCTTGTGCTAAAATGACAAAATAACAAAAACACATCTGTGGAAAAATAGTCGATCAAATAAAATTTTCTTAAAATGTCATTTTAGCATTTAGATGTAGCAGGTTTTATAGAACAGGAAAAATACTGAGTATAAAATATTACATAGTTGCATCCTATACGCTGGGAACCCTGCGTAGCATCGGCCGCATGCGTTTGGTTCATCGTCCGACATGCTCCTCCTCCATCATCTCATTTTCTGTGTTAGCGAGTAATCGTTTCCTGTATGCAGTATGTTCCTGTCCTGTAGGGAAAACCTGATCAGCATCAACGAGCTCATCGCCATCATGAGGCAGATCCAGAGCATCCCGGAACAGAAGCTGCTCAGCATCGCTGACGCGCTGGACGAAAACAAGGACGGCAAGATAGACATTGATGATGTTATGAAGGTAACGAGGAAACTTTGAAGCAAAGGAGAGCAAATACAGCGTCCTCTCAGTCTGTCTGTGGGGCTGCAAATTAACACTTGGATGTCATTTTCTGTTCTCACTGTTTGAGCTATGTGTGTTAAGAACATATCGATATGTAATTACAGGATAACCGCTAATTTACATTGCTGTTATGGCCAGTACCGATACCAATAGCAATTTCAGTGACACTTTTATTTTGAGTGGTCCTTTTAGAAGAAACACTCAACAGACTCTCAGTAACATGTCAAAACATATGAGGGTTAGGATTAGGTTTTGGGTTGAGCTAAAGGTTAGGGTTAGGATTAGGAGCAGGGTGAGGATTAGGTTGTGGGTTGAGGTTGGGTAAGGTTAGGTTTTGCGTAATGGAACTAACATATTAACGATACATCTACTTAATGTAAGTAATGTATCAATAGAACATCTACAAGATATTTACTTCAGTGTATTCAGATGCTTCACTACTGATACTTCACTGATATGTTGTTCATGTGTTACTGATAATCTGTTACGAGTTTATTAATTATCTACAAAGGACCTCTCCAAATAAAGTGTCACCGCAATTTCAGTTCCAACTAAAATCCGTATACGAAGTGCAGTAAAGCTAAGCTTAGAGTTTAGAACTCTAAGAATAGATTATCGTGGTGTTATCTACCATACTATCAATTTCTGTGAGTTTGAGAAGAATGGATGTTTACAGTTGCATTTTACATTCATTAGAATCTAACACAGCTTACAGTCTAATCAGAAATACCACCTCTAGTGAGCTATTGGCTGTAATGATTGGCCAATAATAATAATGATATTTTTCCAATTAACAGCGATTAATGCAGTTGTATGCAAAAGGTTCGGCAACCCGGTCAGATTACATGTTTTGTTGAATTTTGTAGGTGAAAATGAGTTAACACATCCTCTACAGAGATCACACTTCTGTACATTTTAACAAACAACTACTGTTTATTTGGTATATCTAGCTTACTGACAAAAAACATAATATCTGGTCTGTGCAAAAGTTATGGCACATTTTATATTTTATGTTTTCCAAGATGTTAAACTCAGGAACATATCAAGAACTAACCCTAACCTAACTGTAAACCTAACCTTCACTGTGCCCTAGAATTTGCAGAAAAATGCTGTATTTACGTTTGTTCACTATGGAGGATGTGTTGATGTCTAAAATAAAAAAAACATAATCTGAACGGAGGTATTCAGACTTTTACATACAACTGTATATCGGCTGCCGATAAATTTTGCACCCCTAATTTCTCTTCTCTAGTCTACTTGCTTATGGTCTGGAAACTGGAGCTGATGAGGTATCTGTTGTGGTTTTTGAAGGTGGTGGAGCTGATCGACAAGGAAGACATAGACATCTCCACTACGCAGGTGGCGGAGATCATGGTGATGCTGCAGAAGGAGGAGAAGCTGGTGGAGAAGGAGAAGGCCAAGGAGAAGGCCGAAAAGGAGCAGGCAGCTAAAGTTCAGAACTAAGTCCTGTGGTTTAGTGGCAAAGGAACACTGGAGCTACTGGTGCTTAAGCCCTGGGTTTCGTACTTGAAAAGGAGCGAAACTAAATGATAACCGTTTTAAAAAATCAGAAAACGTTCAACCCCCCCCCAACCATCAGATGGCAGTCATGTCATTTCTTGCGAGTTGAGTCTGTGTGAGCTTTTCTTTTCGTACACCATCGTCGCCATCATCATTCCACTGCCACAGCAATGATTCATTCACTCATTCATCTTTGTATTTGTTGTGTTTAAACCAGGTTATTTAGCAAATGTCACTGAATGTAGTTTGGGGGACCTTGATTTGTCTGGTAATCAAGAACGTGAAGTGGCAATGTAACTCTAGAAAACCTGAACTCAAGGCATTTTTTTTGCATGAATGCACAAATGCTAATGACTGATCAGCTGTTTCAGACTGAATCAAGTCTTGGCTGCATATGTTTAATGAGCTTTCTTTTTTGTTATTACTCAGCTGTGGCCTTGAGTGAACAAACAGCCCCATTTCCCTGACAATCCCATTGAAAATCTAGCTTTTATAGATTACGTATTGCACAGAAGAAAACCCTTAAAATGATATATAAAGGAATGTTCCAGCTTGTTAACCTAATCTCTGTCTGCAGCATTTGTAGCATACAGTTGATTACCATAGGCAATAATTTCAGTGCATTTATAAACAGACTTATGATAGAAGCCAGTGGGCTATTGCTTCAGCAGCTGCCCACTGACTTGCATTATAAGAAAATTCTAGGTCGAGTGTTCTTAGTGTAGGGAAAGGTGTCAAAATGACTGTCTGGGGTCACTGAGCATACACTACTAATGCGTCAGATAGAGATTAGGTTGAAAAATTATGGATGTGCTCCTTTTACAGTTTCCTTTTCACCTGTAGTTTAAACCAGGCATTCTTGTGGTCTTGTATATGAGCGATATAGTTAACTTTGGAACAAATAATGGTTGTGGATTTTTGTTTTGCTGGGTCAGAAAGCTCTGTGTGACTGCACAGGAGAGATGAAATTGAGAGAGACTGCTGTTAGGTGCTTAAAGTGTGCGTGTTTGTGTGTGTTTGGACAAGTGAAGATGTAGGGAGCTGGGTGCGGTGCAGACAGTGCCGGCGCAAAACTCGGCTCAGGCCCAGCATGGTGAGACCAGTCTGGGTACAGTCAGTCCGAGTGCTGGGTAAACACTCACTCCATACATGGAGAGGGTAGGGAGCAGAGGCAGAATACGTGCGCACACACTAATACACAGACACAGAGAGTATTTTGTCAGCGTAGCATAGTTGCACAGGGCACAGCAGACAGTGAATACATCATTCCCAACCCTAAACATGTCATACAGAGAGAACAGAGTGTCTGGGCTCAAAGCACCATGTCTGTGCTGCGTCAGAGAGAGAAACAGTCGTATGCAAAAGATTGAACACCCCAGGTCAAATTCCGTTTGTTGATTTTCTATGTGAAAATAGCTTACTGCAGCACCATGTTCTCTATAGAGGATGTGTGCTTATTTTTACCTAGAAAATCAACAAAACACATCATTGCATGTTTGCACACGACTGTAAGCGTCTTTTGGGGTCAGGGTGCCTAAATATTTCAAACTTTGTCCATAAGCTTTAACAAGGCAGCAGACAAGGGTCAGAGCTCCACCCTCAACACAGTAACAGCCTGTGTTTGTGCAGCTTCTGTCTGCATATCGACATGTAGGCCTTAAACCACATATATTAATTACTCTGCATTATAATCTCATGCTATTGTGTCTACTGTGTAAAGGGAGCAGGATGTATTATACTGATGTACGATTGCACTATGGTTATTTAAAGCTTTTTTATGATTATTATTTTGAGGTCTTGATCCAGACTCAGGTACTTTTGTGTAATGTATGCCAAGGGATGCAGGTGCAAGTGGAGATATTAGAAGAATGGTGCATTTTGTACAGTGGCAGGAGAGTGTATTTGTGTGAGAGGTGAGGATTTTGGAAAGAGAGTATTTTTTACTTTGAGCATGCACAGCTGCTGTCCTGCTTTAATATAAAGCCTCTTGGTCAGACCAATAGCTTTTTCGTGAGGTGAGTACATGTAAGACACATGTAGCATAGAAGGATAGGAGAATGAAAACTAGAGGAGAAGGCAGGCTAAAACTCCTGAAGACTTGAGGGGGAATTCCACCAAATTTAGAAAAATTTATAGTTCAGTTGTTGAGATGTAAACATTCATTTAAAGAAGTTTGATATGAAACGTAAGCTTCATTCTTGCAGAGGCAGAATTGTTCACAGTGGTGGTGATAGGAACCAAACATCTAAGTGTTTAATGTCTCTAAAAGCTGCATCACCTAAAGTCGTTTCATCATAGAGAAACTTACAGACTCTTGATTTCTTTACAGTGGTGGTGATTAGGAATGAGGAGTCACGGCAAAACACAAAGACATTTTATTTACTATCCAAAACAACATTTTATGAAATGTTGATGATGGTAGAATAGTAGTCTAGAAATCTGGATGTTTTATTGGGGACTATTTTTTATCACAACACCGTGCGTGTTCCTCTCTACCACTAATAATGTATGTTTCAAGCCAGGAGCTTATCCTAAAATATTTCCTCAGACATCAGGCAACATATTCATAACCGTTTCATGTAATAGCTTGCTGTGAGGGAGCTTTTAGAGGCATTAAACGCTTGGATGTCTGGTTCCTATCACTACCACTGCGAACAGTTATGACTTGGCAAGTTTTTTTGGAATGGAGCATTTCACATCAAAGCACTCTTAATGACTTTGTTTACATCTCAACCATTTAATTATACATAAATTGTGAAAGATTTCCCTTTATATCTCAAAGCATTAACTTCTTAAAAATGACTTAAGAATTTCTGCATAACTATTATTGTTAAAATGTAAAAGTCATTCAGAGCTGTTTGATGTGAAACGTAAGCTATTTGATTCTTGCAGAGACAGAATTGTTCACAGTGATGGTGACAGGAACCAGATATCTAAGTGTTTAATGTCTACAAGCTACGTCACAGAAAGTCACCACACAAAATTATTGCAATTATTGTCTGTTTTGTCTCTTTTGAAAAGGATATTTAAAAAAAAAAAATACAAGGTGGAGAGATATATGTAGGGCATTGTAAGGTAAAATATTACCCAGAGACTTGTTTTTGATCATCGTCACGTGTGGAAACCCAAAAGAGACGTGTAGGCTCTGCTTGTTCTGGTTTGCACATGAGTCGACTTCTACATCGCTAAGTGTTGATAAATGTCTGTAATGCACCATTTGACCTAAAACCAAACTCTTAATGACTTTGCTTACATTTCAGCGAGTAAATGATGCACACATTTAGAAAAACTTGATGGAATTCCCCTTAAAGCAAAGAATATAGCGTTCAGAATTGGTATGTTTAGGTAGGAACATTGTGCTGTACTTGTGTGGGTACCCATATGAGTAACTGTTAAATTTCTATAAAGCTCTCTACAAGAATTAGATTAGTTTGGCAAAGCTAGATAAGCTAGTGTTGTAGACTGAGACGTGTCCCTTTTTAGAGAATTGAAGGTGTGTTGAGGAAGCCCTCAAGGAGCTTGTGCTGTACTGAGTCTTAGATCAGCACTGATTTCAACTGACAGAGCTGCACTTGGCCCCTCTGGGGCCACTGTAATTGTGAAAGCATCACAAACTCAGTGTACAGCGCATGAAATAGTATTTGACTGCCTGATTTTTTGCAAATTTTAGATATTTTGACACTGTCAGGTTTTCAGATGCTTAGCCAGAATGTTACCAAAAGCAGAAAAGCTGACTAAGCAGATATGATAATAATATTAAATTATCTGAATAATTCAAAATGAGGTCTTCTTGTGCGATTCTGTAATTGGCCTGATTGTCCCACCACCCGCTGAAGAAAAACGTGCAAAAATTTAGAATGTGTGCAGAAAGTCAGCTGGGTCTACAGTACTGTTTTATGGCCTGTATGATTGTGACTGTACAAGTGTACAGTGGATTGGCTTTTAATCATTTAATTCAATGAGTTTTTCTTATTGCGAGTTCACCAAATATTGGAAATGAAATGAGGAGGCCTGTCCTCAGTGCTCTGTTATTTATTTATTTTTTAATTATTTAAAGCTGAGCGGAGGAATTGCAAAAAAGGTATTATTTTTAAAAATCATCCAAAATGTAGTAGAGAGTGATATTCAGTGTTCATTTGTTTGTTTGTTTTTAAGTTTACGACTGCAAATTAACGATGCATTTTGCTCAGAATAATTCAGATGTAAATACACTCATTTTAATTCTCATACAAGTGGTTCCAAAGTATTGAATAAAATGAGGCAAAATGGAAAGTTGTGTACCATTTCTTTTTGATTTTTCACAAACTCCTCACCCATCCATATTCCATCTGCTTCTTTTCTTTACTTGTTTATGTTTTACATTTGTTTCTCCACCTCTAAGCCTTATGGCTTTTTGCCCTCAATGCCACTTACCAGTCCTCTGTGACCTGGGTCATTAGCATCAGACTCTAGTTTTGTCCCCTTTCTGTGGCTATCTGAATGAGCTGCATGCTGCTCTGCATTCCGCTGTACATGTGAAGATCCAGAAGTGTGTAGCAGGCCTCCCTTTTAAAACCTCAGTCAGAAAGCACTGCAACTGTTTTGTACTACAGCAACAGAGGCCTTCAAACAAAGCTGCTGCAAGCCTGTAACATTGGTTTACCCTTCTCCCCCTCTAGGTTGATGTTCCAGATCTCCAAGGTCTGTGTTAACACTTCTGGCTCAACTCTTCAGCTAATTCATAAGCTTGAGATAAGAGGAAGACCTCAGTAATTCTCAGCTTAATCTCATTCTGCCGCAGCGTACAGTTGATTATTCGACAGTACAATATAGATGCAGCAGATCGAGATTAAGTTGAGGGGGGAAAAAAGCTGAAGTGTTTCTCTAAAATGGGAATGTTAGAGCAGAAAGAGTGCAAAACTTTACAGGGCTAAGAAAAATGAGAAATACTACTCTAAGACTATTGCTTGGTGCTTTTTCTGCATATCCTGATCCTTTGATTTTCCTCTTGTTGGCAGGGTTTTGGGCAAACCAAAATAAGCAAAAAGTACAGTGAAACTGCAAATTTCTTATAGTCCTGTGGTTCACAAGGCAAGACTGGTTTAAAAAGATGATGTTATCATGAAGCACAGAAAGAACTGCATGTTTCTAGATTGCCAGGACAAAGCTAAAACCTTAAGATAATAATAAGGTTGATATTATTTTTAGACATTTTAGCTTATCTTATCATCCACAGACCACTAAAAATTAGGTTTGTGCACCTTCTTAATGAAAACAACCTGGGGAAAGAGGACCTGAATAGAAAAGAGAACTGCCTTATTGGGAGGATTGGGATACTTGAAAACAGGAACAGATACACAACTATAATTGTTGTATAAGATCAATTATTGTTTGAAATGGTAAATCGAACATGTACTTAAAAAAAATGCCTTTTGAGATTATGAAACATGCTTTAAATTAGTGAGATTCAAAACATGCGTTAAAAATCCTACTCAGATCTGCAGATTGCTCAAAATCCATTTAGAACGTCCGTCTCTGAAGATTATGGGTGAAAGTGATGTGTGTTTATATGTAGGTGAGAGGATGAATGGCACTGTTTTCAACAGAGTGAGCGGTCTATGCAAAAATGTACCCCACATTGTGAGTTTACCTAATTTGCCATGGTAAACCATAAACTACTAACATCTTTTAAAAAGAGAAAGTCTTTTTAAAACAAAAGACAAAACGCCTAAGAGAGCTTAAGAGTGTATCTTCAGTACCTTGAGGAGTTTTATTGTTGAAAGTTTTGTACAAGGAGTATTTTTGTAAGGAGCGTAATGAAAATCAATTTGGAAAGCAATATGTGTCTTAGTGATTATACAAGACTGTGTCTTACAGCTGTCTGTCCACCTTTTCAATATTAGGGTCAAATATGGGATATGATTTTGACATCTGGAACTTAAGGACAGATTAATTAGCAGCCAAAGCAAATAGGAAAAATTGACAGTAATGTTGGCCTGAAATCATGCACTGTATGAAAGTATCTGAGTTTAATTACTTTGCTAACCCAAGAACCCAGCTTTACAGCATGAACCACCTGTGGAGTAAGAAATAGCTTGACCAGTAGGGGGTGCTATAGATCAATATTGTAAAGTCAGGAGGCTCTGTTTTGATCATTTCAAACTGTTGCCCTTTGATAGATAATAGAATCTGTAAGATTGGAAATTGCTCCATATGTCCCCTGGATTGCTTGAAAAGGTTGAATAATGCTTTCTAGTAGGAGGATCAATATTTCTGAGCTGACATGCCAGCTAAAACAAGTTTTGTCTACATGACCAAGACTAATAGCAGACTGGGTGCCAGACTATTTGCTTATCATACATGCCTCAACCTCAGTCTGGCAACCTGACTTAAAAATGATCAAAAAGAAGGAAAAAAAACAATGTAAACTTGATACACTAACAATATATATGCTGGCAATTGTAAGCATCTTAATTGTAGGCAATATTGTACAAATTCAACCTATTTCTCAACATTATTACTTAAATGTAAAGTAATCTTATTAACGGAAATGATCTAAATCCACTGACAGATCAATTTACAGACAAAAGCAAAATGATCTCACATATAGTACCTACACTATATGGCCAAAAGTATGTGGACACCCGTCTAACACACCTATATGAGCTTCTTTGGACTTCCTATTCCAAAACCATGGGCATTACTATACATTTCATGCTGGAACAGCAAAGGGCCTTCCCCAAACTTTGTGAAAGTTTGTGAAATACCTGCTGGTACCTGGCTAGCTGCTAACTCACTCACTAACGCAGCTTCAATGACAAGATGTCATTGTTCAACAGTTCTTCTTTGGGAAATGCTCTTTTCTAGTTTGGTATTGCGCTCTTCCACACATTAATTGAGATCTTAGATGTCTCTTTGCCTTCGGTTAGATAAATAAGTAAATTCATGGATGGAATTCATAATTGTAAAGTTTTCAGAGGTATCCTGGTTACAGCTGCTAGGCTATGAAGGACCAACAAAGTGCTACAGCGCCACCCTGAGGCACACTTGTGCGGCATCTCTACTTAGTTAAGACTACCAAAGACAGAAGCTCGCCCATTGTGGGTGAAGCAGCTAAACATTGACCTTTCCCTGAATTTGTATTTGAGTGTCTATTTTTCCATAACGCACAACGTAACATCACAAGTTTGTAAGGACCTACCAGAATTTCGTTTTTGAGACATTCAGGGGCCCTGAAGAGGTTAGTTAGCACCTCCCCTGTATTTTGCACATTGTCCCAGACCATTATCCCTCCTCAACCAAACTTTACTGTTGGCACTATGCATTCCGGTAGGTAGCGTTCTCCTGGCATTCGCAAACCCAGATTTGTCTATCAGTCTGCCAGATAGTGAAGCATGATTCATCACTCCAGTGAAC